CTCTCCAGCCCCTGAACATGGGTTTAAAGAAGGAAAATCAGAGTTCGATTCCAGTTCCAATGATAATCAGCAATGTAGAGCCAGATGTGGTGGTACATGCCTTTAATCCCAGCACTCATGAGGCAGAAGCAGGCAGATCTCTGTCAGATTGAGGCCAGCACAGACTACATAGCAAGTTCCAGGCCAGCCAGAGCTGCACAGTGAGACCCTGTCTCAATGTTCTCCCTTAATAATAGCTCTGTAACCCTGGTAAATTAAACTAAGTGCTGAGGTTTGTTGAACTGGAGAATGGAAAATAATGATACCTTCACAGAATGGCACTGAGAATTCAACTAGACAAAATAAAGTGTATATATACTTGACATTAGGGTCTTCTAGAATGCCAGTCCCTTCTTACTCTCTAGGAAAATGTTATTTGAGCCTTAGTCATGTCTTCTAAGAAAAAAGACCTCTGCTCCTTCCTTGTATTTCCCATCCACATTACAGATTCACCATTCAGAATATAGAAATGTCCTAATTACAGGATTCTACACTGCCTGACACAAACACTCCTAATCTTGGAGGACTCTTCTTGATCCTAAAAATAAGTCAGTACAGAGAAACTTGAATAAACTCTTGAGACATAAAGTAAATAGTGATAATTATAAGCTAAGTTTTTTGTTGATGGTTGTGCTCCCTCATTAAAGGAGGGGTAAGCAGGGTCATTGGACCCTCACCTGAGTATCCAGACACTCTTCCCAGCCAACTGTATGTAATTTGGCCCTAATCATACATGATCTCCTTCGATTTGGGGCTGACTAAATATAGAACCTGGGGAAGGCTAGGAAGAGAAGGCTTGATACATGCTGGGTAAAGGCTTTCCAGTGTGCTCATATACCTCAGGTCACTCAAACACCTCAGCAACCCCCCAGTCATCTCTGTAAGTAAGCTCAGTAAATTCATTGGTTCCCCAAGAAAACTTTAATCAAACATTGGTTTGACACTAGAACCTTAGAAGGGGATAAACACTGCTTAAGTTTCTCACAACAGATGGAAAATTTATTTGTTAATGTTATTATGTCTCATAATTATTAAAAAAAGAAAATGAGAATGTAAAAGGATATGGGAATGGAGATATTTTCCAAAATAGACAGAAAAAATGAGAAAGCCTAAGCAAGTGATGAAGGTCTGCATGGGTTTGTTACGATATATAAAGGATGAAACAAAAATAATATACACATAATCTTAAAATTGCGAAGGTCATAGTTTAGTCAACTAGTTTAAGGAACAAAAGATATGTCTAGTCAAGGTTTATCTGAGAACATTTGGTTTTTGCCCAAGCTTTATCTACATAGCACACAGTAAGTAAAAGTATCAGACTGGTAGAACTAACCCTCCTGGATGTTTACCAGCCATACTTTGAGGCCTATACAAATGTGGTCAGAGGGACTTAAAAGGACAGTTTTTCTTCCTTGCCCTCCAAGGTCGACTAAGTTCCAAGGGACTATGGAGCATCTCTCAAAATGTCCTGTAACTGTGGTGAATCACCTGTCCTCTGGTTCAGGAAGGACATGGAGACCCCACGAGATGGACTTGAACCAGTGTCCAATCTACAAAGAGGAGAGTCAATTCGGAGGAAACATCTCATTCATGCTTCCAAGTGAAGCCAGACATGTCAAGCAGGACCTTTGACTTATCTTCACATAGATGGAACTGGTAAAAGAAAGGAGCCAGGAGCTCCTCCCAAGCCCATGTGACCCCTGAGGGACAGATCCTCAGATGACCTTAAGTGTAAAAATAAATTGATTTATTTGGGCCAACCGTACGGTCTTAAACACCCCAAAGGAAAGTGTAACCAAAGAATAAAGTCATCAGTATATTTCTTTAAGAGTTCAAAGGATTACACTTCCCAGACATTAGGCTTAAGTATATATAAAAAGTTATTTAGACAATTATTTCTCATTGATGATTTTGTTCCTACCAGAAAGTGCTGCTCAGATGTAAGACTTCAAATCTTGGTCTCCGCTACTGTAGTGCCCACCTGTAGCTAAGGGAGACAACCAGCTATTGTTCTAAAATGATGGATAAATTTGTTTTTTCCCCTATCTAGAAACCTTTACAAGGGAACTGACACTGATTCTAGCCACTCCAACAGCTATCAAAGTGCCTGAAAACAAATCCTGAGTCCATCACTTTCGAGTCCAGCCTTGGCAGACAAAAGAAAAATGAGGAGGAACCCAATGGAGGGATGCTTTTGGAAAGTCTTGGTCTCGTCAAGAAATCCCAATGGACTCTGATATGAGCATATGAAATTTGCCGTTTTGACTTTTTTCTGGTTCCCTGTCTAGAGCTTGCCTTTATCTATCTCTCCTTCACATCTCCTAGGCATCAGTCAAGGACTTTCTTTTCTCCCTACAGTTAATTTGGGAGTCTTTTAGATAGACCTACTGAAGGGGTACCCTAATTGTCTCACCCTGCATGCCTGTTCAGCATGGAAGAAGCCAGAACAGTCTGTGCCCCAATTCCCTATTAGCAATTTGAGTAACCTCTTCAGTAGTGTGATAAGAACAGGAGGGTAGGAATTGGCTAGACAGTTAGGGTAAAAAGACCCCAAAGAAAAATAGCCAATTTCTTGGCTAAAAATCAAAATGACCTTGGGTCTCTTAGCAACACATTCTGTACCAAGGCCAAAAATGTCAAAAGTATTTGGGAGCTCTTATCTAATTTCTGAAAGATTTTAGGGTTACCTCTTCAGAGGGGGGAATGTTAGAGTAGCAAAAAGCCCCATTAAAAAAAAGAAAGTACATGAAGTTGTCAGAAAAAAGTGATGGGGGGATATGGGAGGAGTTGGGAGGGGAGCGAGTGGGTGTGGATTTGATCAATATACCATATATGCATGTATGAAAGTCTCAATAAATTTTTTAAAAGTTAAAAAGAAAAAGAAAAGGATTTTGTCTCTAGTAGAATGGGAAGCAAGCATGTATTTTACCTAAACTGGGACCTTAATCTATTTTTCTATGTTCAAAATATGACCAAAGTTCTTAGAGTTGCAGAAAAAAAAAAAAGATTCCAACACTAGAACTCTAATTCCATCGATTCAAATTTAATTGTCAAAGGTAGGCTAGGAATCTTTTAAAAGCCTCCCATGAGATTCTGGTATGCTAATCAATGTAGAGACTCTCTAGCATGGTCAGAAATCCAGCTACTTCAAGGCTTGACCAACTGTAGGAGGAAGGCTGGGAGGCGATCAGAGGGCGTCTTCCACTCAGACCAGAGAGAATGAGCAGGGAAGGAGAGAGAACTCAGAAAACATGCCCAAGCAAATCTGAAATAAAATACATTTAAACATGAAATGAGGAAGGAAAAGAATTATAGTTAAGCTACAGCCTTCAGAGAACATGCAGGGCTACAGTGCTTTCAGACAAAAGGGAGGATGATTCTTCTGGGGCCGTGCTATGCACTAGAACCTTTCACACACTCTGAACCTCTAAACTAGTATCATTTGCTACTTAAAAAAAAATTCTCCAAAAAGTCAGGTATGAAGATGCATACTTGTAATGCCAACACCTAGAAGCAGAGAGTGCTGAGAGTTTGAGGCCAGCCTGAGCACAGTGTGAAGCTGTCTATAAATAAATAAAGCACATTTTTTAAAAAATTATAAGCTAAGCTTTAAAAACAACAACAACAAAAACAGGGTCTCACATATCCCAGGCTGGCCTTGAACTTACTATGTAGCCAAGGATGATTTTGAACTTCTAATCCTCCTGCCTTTATCTTCTGAGTGCTGGGATTACTGGTTTGTGTCACCATGCCCAGTTTTATTTGGTGCTGGGGATGGAACCCAGAGATTTGTGCATACTAGGCAAGTACTCTACCAACTGAACCACAGCCCCTGCCTAAGCTAACCATTTAAGAGGCACTTATATATTCTATATAAAGCAATAAAGGTATAACAGTGTTTTTTAAATTCTGTCTTGGGGCTGGAGAGGTGGTTCAGGGGTTAAGAGCACTTACTGTTCTTCCAGAAGAACCTAGGTTCAATTCCCAGCACCCACATGGCAGCTCTGCTGCCTTATGATGGGCTTCACAGGCACCAGACACATATTGGTATACATACAGGCAAGCAAAACACTTGCACAAAGCCTGGTTCAGTTACCTCTTCCACCTCATTTTAACCTTGCACCCAGAGAGTAATCCTACTCTCTGATGAGTTATACACCATACCCAATAGATGTCCATAAAAATAAAACTAGTTTGAGAAGACAAGTCACTAGGAAACTTGTAGGCCACATGATATTCCTGAACCAGGCAAGACTCCAAAAGAAGGACCATGTGTGGGTTCCCTGTGACATTCCAGCTCTAAGCCAAGAAGAGAATGTGCGAAGATGGGTGCTGATCAAGATCAGGCCTTTTAAGGTAAATCTGTAAGACAGAGGACGTCCAGTGAATGGAAACGAGGTCAGGGGTCAGGCCGTGTGGGAAACACTACATCACACATGAGACCAGATGCTCAAATCAAAGGAAGGGATTAGGAATACTGTGTAGCTAATATTCCAGTTGGGTGCAAGTTCACTACTAAAGGGCTAAAAAGATTAAGAAGACAAAGTTTCTTTAGGGAAAATAAAAGAAAGACAATATTAAATTAAAAACTCAAGGAAGAAGTAAAGATGAATGTTCTGAGGGCAGAAGAAATTCGACCTCAATCCCAGACCCCAGGGCAATGAAAAGTAAAGGTGGGATACACTTTAGTAATTAAACAACAAAAGCCTTCAGGAACTACAAATAACAGACAGTTTGAGGTTTTAATGGAAGAATAGCACATTCCCACTGGGTTTATAAAAGGAACTGAGATTTCCCACAGCATGCAGATTGAAGGGAAAAAAGCACCCAAGTTTTCAGCCTGTAGCAACAAATGTGGTAGGTAATTTCTAGGCCTGTGTCCTGGGGGCACTGCAGCTGCATGAGCCATGACTGACCTCCCACTGGCTTTTCCTGGGGTGAACATGTGTGACCGTACTTACTGGAGTCTTCCCACTGGAGTAAGTGTAGCTTCCAAGCAGAATAATACAAAAATCCCAGGACCAGAAAAAGGCAGAGGGCTAGCAGCAGATTGCGCACAAATACCAAGACTCCCATCTTCACATGACTTACAATTTCCTACATGACCTAAAACAAAAACAAAAACAAAAACAAAAACAGGTCATAAGAGAGAACGCAATCATACAAATCCATGCTTCCCTAAGACGCAAAGTGAAAAGAGACAACCTCCAAATTCAGTCACTGAGTCGTGACTGGGCACCTGCCAACCTGCTCATGCCCGTCTCAAGAACAGTTTCCACATCGCCCAGCACCCAAGCAGTCATCTTTGACCCTTATTCATGCCAACAGCCAGTTTTGGGCAATTGTACACTCAAAATTTTTTAAAGATTTTACTTCTTTTTGTAATATTTTATTTATCTTTTATTACTTTTATTTTACGTGATGAGTGCTTTGCTTGCATGTAGGTAGGTACACCCATGTTGGGCAATGTCCATAGAGATCAGAAGAGGGCATTGGATCTCCTGGAACAGGAGTTCTAGACAGTTGTTAGCCTCCATGTGGGTGCTGGGAATTGAACCCAGATCCTCTGCAACAGCCACCACTGCTCTCAACCGATGAGCCATCTCTCCAGCTCAATTTTATTTTTATGTATGTGAGTGCTTTCCTTGAATGTATGCAAGTGCGCCCACACCAAGCAATACCCATGGAGGCCAGAAAAGGGCATTGGAGCTCCTAGAACTGGAGTTACAGATGGTTGTTAATACCCATGTGGGTGCTAGGAACCAGACCTGGGTCCTCTGCAAGAGCAGTCAGTGCTCTTAACCACTGAGCCATCTCTCCGGTTCCTGATTTTTTTTTTTCAATTTTTTTTATGTATATGTATGTGTGCCTGCATATCTTTGGTTGTACAAGCTTCTCGAGGGGCCAGAGCAGGCCTCAGATTTCCTGAGGTTTCAGTTATAGGTGGTTGTGAGCTGCCTGATATGTGTGATAAGAACTGAATTCCAGTCTTCTGCAAGAGCAGTAAGCACTCCTAACCACTAAGCCAGCTCTCTAGCCCTCAAATAAATCTTAAATCATACACTTTCCCACCATGACTACCCTAATCTGTGCCATTGCCATATTCCCACAAATCAGTTTCTACTCCCCACATCCATTCTACACACAGCACAGTTGTTTGGTTCAGTTCTGTTTTGTTTGAATCAGGGTCTCTATGCAATCCAGGCTGGCCTAGAATTTTCTATGCAGCCCAGGTTGGACTCAAATCTATGATCTTCCTGCCTCAGCCTCCCAAGTTCTGGCTGAGATTTCAGGCATATGCCACCATGTCCATCTCATAATCACTTCTAACACAAAATCTGATAATGTTACTTCCCTACTCAAACTCCTTTGAATTCATTTTCTACTGGGGCTAAAAGAAGGTAGGGCAAACCAAACAGTTTACAAGAACAAAGATATATCATCTCAGAGTTCTGAAGGCCCAAGTCTGATGCAATGTGGTTCTGTAGGGCCCTTAGCACACAGTCTCACAAGTTCAAAGTCACAGTGCCTGAAGCTGTGTTCTGTTCCCGAAGCTCTGGAGAAGAATTCCTTCTAAGTGCACTCTAGCTAGTGCCTGAATCTCATCCTTGCAGCTGGTTTCCTTGCTGGTTATCAGATGGGCTATTCTTGCCTCTTGTAGCTTTTCTCCGACGTTCCACAAGTTCACCATCAGCACAGTGAACTAAACCTCTCTCATTCTTTGAATCTCTCCAACTTGCCCTTCTACAGCATCTGGCTTCTGCTTTCAGCTAGAGAAATTTCTTCACTTTCCAGGGCTCATGTGATGATATTGGGCCCTCCTGAATAATTCAGAATACTTTCCCTGTTTAAAGGGCCAAACCTTCATTATATCTAGAAAGAGACCCCTTTGTCAAGTCAGGTAACATATTCACAGGTTCCAGGGACTAGTGTGCAGACATCTTCAGGAGACTAACAAACAAACCTTTCATTCAATTCTAAATAAAGTAAGTGCTCTATAAGATAAGCCCCTACTTATTCTTCAAGCCATCCCTGCTACTCCCAACCCCATCAGTGCCTTGTAAACTAGTCATCCATTGAATGCCACCTTGTTTCTCTTCCCAAGGCCTGTCTGGAATGCATTTTCCACCCACCTTGCTACAGTACCTGCCATACATCCTTTGTACTCCCAGCCCTGATCACTTACCCCAGTCACCAAATAACATGAAAAAGATACTATATATAAGTATTAATAATGGGCTGGCTGTCTTCTGACCACAAACACATGCATGCATACCTGCGACACATGCATGTCATAGCATGCAAAACATAAAAAATACAGAAATTAATGTAGTAAAATTTTAAATATTAATAATAGTTATAATTTTCAGATTATACAATTGTTCGCCTAGAAAAGTCAAGAGAAACAAGTGAAAAAGATGTTAAAACTAATAAAGTTCAATAACGTAGGTGATTATAAGATTAATTTACAAAAAAGCTAAGAGCTTTTTAAAAAAACACGACAGAAAGGGGCTGGGTAGATGGTTCAGTGGTTAAGAGCACTGACTGCTCTTGCAGAGGACCCGGGTTTGATTCCCAGCACCCATGTGGCAGCTACGAACTGTCCTTAACTCCTGTTCCAGGGGAATCTGAAGCCCTCTTTTGGCCTCCGCTGGCATTGCACAACAGAGGTGCACTCACATACATGCAGGCAATACACTCATAAATAAAATATTTTTAAATTGCTTATTTTAAAAAAATGACAGAAATATCCAATTAGAAAACGTAAGATAAAATATTCCATCCATCATGGCAACAAAATCTGTAAAATACTTTAAAATGAACTTGGGAAGAAATGGCAAGACAAAGCAATTTAGCAAGTTCCTGAGATTGTATATATATACACGTGGGTGGGGCAGCTGTGGACAGTGGATAACCTCTATCACTCTCGCCTCCTTTTGAGATAGGGTCTCTCACCAAACCTAGAGCTCACTGCCTGCTTGGAATGGCTGGCCAACAAGCCCCTCCTCAGCCTCCTAGAACTGGGATCACAGGGGTACACTTGTTTTTTACATAGGTGCTAGAGAGCCAAACTCAATTCCTCATGCTTGTACAGCAAGTACTGTATTGACTGAGCTATATCCCCAGTCCAGAATATAACAAGTTCTTAAGTGAGAATATCAATATTGGAAATATGTCTGTTCTCTATAAAAATCAGTTAAATTCCAGTCAAAATCCACAATTTTTCTTGAACTTGAATCTAAAAGTTATCTAAATTTATACCTAGGAAGACTCAAGAAAAAGGAATCAGCATGTGTATGTGTGCTTGTTTGTGTATGCCCCGGTGTGTGTGCACATGAGTGCACACCCATGTGGAGGCCAGAGCTCAACTTCAAGTGTCTAGCCACCTTGTTTTTTTTGTTGTTGTTTTTTGTTTTTTTCTGGTGTTTTGTTTGAAGCAGAGTCTCACTATGCAGTCCTGGCTGGCCTGTAACCCATTATGTAGACCAGGGTGGCCTCTGCCTCTGAGTGTTGGGATTAAAGGAATGTACCACCTCACCTAGCCTAAGGTTTTTGTTGTTTCTTTTTTTTTCCACCTTTTTTCTCATTGTTTTTTGAGATAGTGTCTCTTAATAGCTTGGAGCTTGCTGATTGACTAGGCTGGCTAGCTAGTTAAGGCCCAGGTGTCTGCTGCCTCTGCCCACCCTCCAGCTCAGGGATTACAAGTGGACACCACCAGCACCTGGCTTTTTTACATAGGTTCTGGGGCTGGAACGCAGGTCCTCATGCTTACAAGGCAAGCGCTTTACAGAATTCTTTCTTGTTTCGTCTTATATACCTTCACGCAGGTATATATTGTACACCAAACACGTCCCCCTCATACCTCCCCACTTTCACCTGCCTTCTTGTTAGCTCCTCTGTCTCCTGCACAGCTTTACTTCTACTTTCAGGTCACATATACACACATGATTTTATGTCTCTATATAAAGTTTAGGAATTACAACTGAGAGAAAATATATGGTATTTATCTGAAAAATAAAGGAAAAATAATGAAACAATTGAAGATACAAATGCAGTGCATCGCCAACACCAGGTGTGAGGATTTTCCCATGCAGCAAGCAGGGAATGATGCAGCAGTGGACACCTGCAGAGTCCTCTACTGCAGCTCTGCCCTGACCACATCTACCTGGAGATCACATCAGATCACACAGACTGAAAACACAGTCCCTCCAGGCCAGATGCCAATCACAAGATCCAGGCTGATTTACCTGTACTTCTGACCCACTGGCTACAAACCAAGGTTTTCACAATCCCCTGCCTAGGTCCCAATAATTTGTTGGAATGGCTCACAATCTCAAAGAGACATAGATACGACAAAAGATACCGATGAAGAGACATGTCAAGTAACATAAAGGAAAGGGGACATGGATTACCATGGCTTCTCCAGGGACCTTCACCTGTTCAGCTATTTGGAAGTCTCCAACCATGTCCTTTGGGGGTTTGTGGAGGCTTTGTTACATGGGTCAATGATTACACCAGGGTCACTGGTAACCAAATTGACCTTCAGGTACCTTCCCCTCACTGAAAAGGTTGGAAAGGGGTTCAATGTCCCAACCCTTCAATCTGCCTTGGTCTCCGCAGGCCCAGCCTCCATCCTGAAGCTACACAGGGGCACAAACCAAAAAAATCACTTTGGATATTAGATTTTAGGAGTTATAATGCCAGGAAATGGTGATGAAGACCAAATATATTTCACAATACCTCAGTTAAAAATTTACCTACCCCCACAGGATTTGGAGCAACAGAGCTGGAACTGACTTGGAGGCCACCTCCCCTGAAGGCTGGCTCTCATAGCTTTGGAGAACACTACACAAGCTGCTAAGGAAGAACATCAATGGATGGTCCAACCTCAGCTTCAAGACCTAAATCCCACATCAGTGACCAGCACAGCAAATGACATTGGTGCAGTAGTGGCACTTTTATCTTGGGGGTAATCAACAGCTACGTAATTGGACTTAAAGCCCACTCAATGGGAGGAAACTCATGTGTGGTACTATAAACCTAGCCAAATACACATAGCCGGTAAGGTCATAGGTCTTAGAGAAAACCCAAGGCTCTCACATCCC